ACACACATGTACAAGAGGAGGCAGTGATTACTTTTAAGTCACTGCAGACTTAAAACAAAAGTATGAAATAATAAATATAAAAGAAAACTAGGAATTCAGTTCTTCCCTCTCTTACATCTTGAGGCTTTCTGCCATGATGTGCTTGCTGCCTTTTACATCCCCAAAGCAAGGGCTCTGTGATGAACTGCACCTACAGCAGAGATGCCTTTCTCTGTCTAAGTGTACAGATTCTCTCAAGCCTGTGCTACATGGACAGAAGGTGACTATTACAATTGTGATCATTGGATAGCCTCCATCACTCAGCCGAGGTACCCAGGGACCTTGGGAAGGTCACTGTTTCTCTCCACAATTAGTGAATATATTGAGAAAATACTTTGAGGATATCTAAATAACATCTAAATATTTTCCTGCTAATTTTAAAATCCATAGATGATGTAGAGAGAGAGAGTTTGTATGTAAGTAACTATTTCTTCAGTTAATCTACATCTATATGAATTTGCAAACACACATCTTAGTCATGGGGCTCTATAACTCAAAGCTATTGATTTTGCTACTCAAACTGTTCTAGTTTTAGCTCTTTGATCCCCATTGGTTGATCTCTGTGTCCTTACAACATGGAAACTCTCTCAATATACATACTTTTTTTTCTAAGTTACTCTGTAGCATAGGCTGGAATTGAACTCATGATCCTTCTGCCTCTGCCTCCTGAATAGGATTGCAGAGCCAGAACATATACCATCTGAATGGAAGAAAGTGCTCAGAAGAGAATGGGTACACTGTGTCTTCAGCCTCCATAATGTGACTATAATCAGCCACTTCTCCAAAGAGTCTCAATTTCTTGTATTGGAGAACAACTCTGAAACTCATAGCTGGATGATGAAGGAGACTTTTCAATAGAGGACTCAGAGAATCGCCCCCTCAGCAGATAAATGTCTTCATCTGTATCATTTGAAACACAGGCTATTCTGTAAAATGCCTCTCCTGCCCTCTCCTCTCAATGCAGTGATATATCCTTCTATCTAATTAAAAAGGAGGATTGGGTTTCTGCTATCTGCCCTGCATGATGATGGGTACCAGGGAATAATAAACACTGAAGAAGACAGATTCAACCCTTGGGAGGCTTTCAGACTGCTAAAGGAGTAATCTCTTAAACACATAAACAAAGTTAAAATGCAGTGTGGTCAGTGCTGAGGTCACCAGTGTGGTTCACATGGAGGCAGCATGTTGCTGAGATTTGAACAGGATGGAACAGGGGTGTGTGAAGGGCTTTTAGAAAGAGATCTCAACTGTGTCCAAATATTTACTTCTAATAGGGGCTTGTTTGAGAGAGCAGAAAGAGAAAATGTGTAGGCCTGTAGAGAAGTCTGTAAAATGGACATACCAGGCTGGAGACATGTACCTAAGTATGCTCACTGCATTTGCAGAGGACCCACGTTCCGCTCCGAGTACCCACATCAGGAGGCTCACAACCACCTGTATACTGGTTTCCTCTCCATTGGGTGCCTGGGTGCACATAGTGCACATACATTCATGCAGGCACACTTGCATGCACAGATAAATAAAAAATAAAATCAAGAAATCTTATTTAAAAATAGAAACAAAAAAGAACATAAAATGAAAAACAAAACTAAAACAACAACAACAAAAACAGAACATTCCTCAGCTCAGAGACGGCAAAGTCAGCAAGTCACAAGAATATACGCTAGTGACAGAAGTGGGGGAATACAGAAGGCAGGAGGAGGTGACAGAAGGCAAGTCAGGGTGGAGTTTGTCGGACAGACTTGTGTCTACAGAGATACACTAACGCTGAACGCCACAGAGACCCTTACCACAGGAGAACCGCATGATCTGATAGGCTTTATGTAGTAGACAGATCACTCAGGCTAACCTGTGAAGCATGGATTCAAGGGAACTCCGCCAGCAAGTGTTTTAGCAATTAGGTGAGATGATGTCACAGAGTCGGGAGCAGTGGATGGATTTTAGTAATATTTAAGAGGTGAAATCAGCAGAACCAGAAGATTTATTGAATGGGAAAGATGCGAAGGAAGTACAGTTCCTGGGAGAACACAGACTGATTTGCTGCCGAGCAGCCGCTGCTGCTGCTGCTGCTGCTGCTGCTGCTGCTGCTGCTGCTGCTGCTGCTGCTCCTCCTGCTGCCCCTCCTGCTGCCCCTCCTGCTGCCCCTCCTGCTGCCCCTCCTGCCGCCCCTCCTGCCGCCCCTCCTGCCGACCCTCCTGCTGACCCTCCTGCTGCCGCTGTCCCCGCTGCCTCCACCACGGCTGCCCTTCCAGTCACTTCTGTCTGGTCGCTGCTCCCTGGTGGGTTTCAGGCAATGGGATACATCGGAAGCGGCTTGTGTCTTTTGTCAAAAGGCACAGCTATTGAGCTGGTCTCATTTTAGGGATGCACACTTGAATCACTTAAGGTGCTGCTGGCCAAAGGTCTCTGGCTCGAGGTCCTTTTATAACTGTTAATACACAGTCTCTGAGATGATGACTTGAGGCTAAGTACCTGCTACCCAACTGATTTTGAAGGCGACTGGTTTCCATCCATGAGGTTGGTTTTGATGCCGGTGGCACATGATGGCTTTCTCGGATCATGCTTCATTCTTTACTTACCAGACTTCATCTGAAAGTTAGCAGATGTAAACAGATGGAGAGCAAAACAAACGAGGCTTTTCTAGCATTTTCTCCCTTTAGGGTCTCTCAGTCTCAGCAAAGACATGGTCATCTTACTCAGAGTACTTCCTGATTGTGTGAGGCTCAATGTGGATGTCCACGCTGGGCCTCCTTTTCCCTCGCTTTCAGTTACTCTCGGGGAACTTTTCTAACACTTTCCTATTTCCTCATAGAAAAGATTCATTGTTTGATTTTTCTGCTTCAGACCTGAGGCTGCTTCTCCTCCACTCACCTCTGTTTTCTTACAGAAAAGAGCAAGCAACATTTAGAAGCACAGACCCTGTCGATGGATGTATTCTGCCACTGAGGGCCAGAAGATGCTTAGTCTCCTGGAAACTGTGTTTATGGGGAATCCATTGAAGCCTAGGGAAGAAGTGCATGAAGAGAATTCACATTAGCATTTGTCAGAAGCCTGACCAGATTATTATTAAGAATATTGGAGTGGGAGGTGGGAGCTGGAGAGACAACTCAGTGGTTCACAACACTTACTGCTTGTTAAGAGGACCCCGTGTGTGTATGTGTGTGTGTGTATGTATGTATGTATGTATGTACATGTACCAAGGCTTTCTTGTGAAGGTCAGAGAACAGCTAGAATCAATCATTCCTCCCCTATTATATCACATGTCCCAAAGACCAGTCCTCTGCCTTGGCAGCATTCACCTTTACCCATGAGACATCTCTCCAGGCCTGGTATGGCTTATTTTGTTGTTGTTGTTGATGTTGTTGTTGTTTTGATTTTTTTATTGTTCTACAAATGATACTTTTCCAGGATAGTGCATGATTGTTGATCATACATAAAACTGTCAAAATTTATAACTATCATGTATCTCTGATGAGCTTTTATGAAATTAATAGGTTTCTGTGATTAATTCTCTTGGAATAGTGGAGTGTGAAGTCAAGTTGTCTCCCATGCTCTGCGTATCATCATCTGTAATGAGAAAGCACCCAGTTATTGTCTTATTGATTAGTGCTGGGAATAGCACTGGAGTGTCCTGCAGATAATTAAGACCCACACTTACTTTAAATAGCCAAAGAACTGTCATGTGATTCCCCCATCTGATCTGTGTGGGTGACATAATGCATATACAGCCCCCAGCAATGCAGCTTTCTGAACAGACACAGGCCCAGCCACAGAGCAAGGCCTCCAAGGGCACTTCCTTCACACAACTGGACAGGGCATCTGGAGGTCATTTTCACCCAAATCTAATTCTTCAAGAGTAGAATTCATTTGATAGTCCTTGTCCTTGTTGTGCAGGCTTTAAAAAAAGAAAAGAACAATGAAGGTTGTACTGACCTTCTTGAGATTCTTCCTTTTAACTGAAATCCATTTGCATGTACTTAGAGTCTAGAACAAATTCATTATTTGCCCTAGTCAAATGTAATTAGAACAGATGAACTGGAGATATTATCCACTGTCTCCAAGGACCAAGAATACCTACGTTAAACACCCAACGCTCTTGAGAAAAGATCTCTTCTTCTGAGGTTAGCGTGACACAGTAGTAATGGGCTTGGGCCTCTCCAGATGGGAAAGCTGAGACGTTTTATTTAATACTGATGTGATTTTAGACAATATGCTCCTATTGTGAAGATTGGGTCCATGTCACACACTAGAAAACTTTATGGCTCTGTCATATGAATGGGTGCATTTAAGGGAATAGCATAAAGGCTTGGCTATATGGTGGTTTCAAGGGTAACTTTGCAGCCCTAAGGGCTGAACATCTTTCTCAAGATTCAAGATTGTCTCTAGAGCCTTAGGATTCAAACCACTGTTTCTGGTGTCTTAGAGGGGGAGAAGATAAGAGTGTGACTGGGCATAAATGAAAGTGAAGCGGAGCGTGAATGCTCTTTAGGTCAAGTTCCCTGAAACTGCCACCCAGTTCTTCCAGCTTCATCCATTGACCAAAGCCCAGCCCCACCACACTGTGATTGCTTGAACCTGAAATGTCCACTATAGACTCATGTTTTTTACACTTGATTCTTGGCTGGTGGTGGTATTTGAGCTGGTCAAGAAACTTTGGGATTCCGTGCCTAGTTGGAGGAGGTTAGTCAATGAATGAAGGTGGGTTCCTGGGAGTGGCCACTTCCTGTTACTCACTCAGCTTCTCCATCATCCATGATGTAGATTAAACTGTCCTATCATGGCTTCCCTGTCATAATGAACTGAATCCTCTGAAATCTAAGACAAAATTAATCTTCCCTTAAGTTGTTACTATTGGGCATTCCATCACAGAAACACAGCTAATGTGTGTGTCTAAGTGCAAAGGACATTGGGAAGAAGAATCCTAGTTAACTGAAAATCAGATTTTTATTTGAGAACATCTAAGTCACGGATATGGGTTTACTTCTAAAACGAGCATAATGATAATAACAATTTCAAAGCTTTTTTAAAGGTTAACTTAATTGGTGTTATTAATATCTTACATGGTAGTTGTTTTCATTTCATTTCCAGATGGCACTGCTAAAATACCCTGGCAAAACCAACTTTGAGAAAGAAAGGTTTGGTTGGGCTCAGTTTCAGGTTACAGTCCATCACTGGAGAATGTTGGAGGAATTTAAAGGAGCCAGTCACATCAGTACATAGCTCAGTAAGCATAGCTAATCAAGAGCAGAGAGAGAATAAAAGTGGGCAAACCTGCACTAGGATTTCTTTCTCTACTCTTACACCACCATCCATGGCCCATGCCTAGGGAATCAAGTTCTTCAGGAGCATGGTGTGCCTTCTCCATGTTGTTCAAGCATTAAAAAAAATTGAGGCTGCACAACTCTTCTTGGAACTCTTCTTCTTGCTCAAATCCTCATGCATAAGCTTAGTCTAAAACCCATGATAGGAAAACCTTCATGCCTCAATTAACGTAATCAAGTTGAATACCCACATACATGGCCAGAGAAAACCTAAACTAAAGTCTCTCATTGAGACCCTCTTCTCCGGTGATTCTAGATTGCATCACATATTAATATGTTGATATGATATTGTCTCAACATACACTATGATCTAGATTACAGATAACAAGCACAGTCATTAGTTACTAATGTTTTAGTATAATTACCCTCCAAAATCACCCAAGTAATGAACTTCTACTGGTTTCTACTATAAATGTGAAGTTTCTTTACAAGTAGAAAAATATCTGAGAAATCCCTATGAACAGTAGAACTTTGCAGTAAGTGGTACTTGTATTTTTTCACGCTCACAAATCCATATGGTGACCAAACTAAAATCTGAAAAGACAACCCTTCCCTGCGTTGGTCACTCAGACTTGCCAGGTAAGTGGCTCACTGGAATGGGAGCCCCACAGTTCCTACTGCAAAGTCCAAAGCTCATTATCCTTGAGCCAGCTCCCCTTCCTTCCATCATGACAGATATTTGAGTGTTGGCCAGAAAGCTGGAACACGCTGAAATATAAAAATGTCCTACTTAAACTCTAAACTCATCAAGAGCGCTAGGATAGTCTGTTTAACCTCGGGCTATTAACAGAGATTTCTTTGCTGCTTTATCATGATCCAGGAAGATGTAATTGAATTGAACACGTTTAAAGCTTTAACTTTGTCTTACCACTAGGGGTTCACCATTCACTTTTTACACGCTAAAAAGAAAGAAAAACATCAGGTGTGATCAAGTGAAATGTATACATGTGCCATAGGATCATTCTGTACAAAGAGGAAAATGTTAGTTTAATTATCCAAAAGAAAATTATTCTAAATAAAATAATTCAGTCTAATCTAAAATGTGATGGTCAAGTCCTTGAAGTTTGCATTTCTGTAACAAACACAATTATTTTCCAGAATCACAGGGCAAAATTCCCCCCTACATTGATATTGGAGGTGATGTCTGAATAAGACTTCAGTTCTACCCCAATAATATCAACTAGTTGGCTAGATCTTTCAAACAGAAAAGACCAAGAAGTTCTCCAAGAGCCTGAAGAGGCCCTAGGAAGGAAGGAGGTACATGTGGGAGAACTGTCATATCCCAGTGCCTGCACACCTAAGCATGTGCCCTGTGTCCCTCATCAGATGGAAGCTGAATGCTTAGCCTCACGCTCTTAACCCATCTCTCTCTTTTTATCACCAGATTTCACTTGTAATTCACCTTTTTATGATAAAATGTAATGACTAATCCCCATTGTAGCAGTAATAGTGTCAGGAGGAGATACAAGAAGTGGGAGGAAGAGAATAAAGGGAGAATTGTGGGTGGGGAAGGCGCCTGCCACTTACTAAATACCATTCTCTGTTAACCTAGTCAGATGCTCTCTTTCTCTACATGTTAGCTTAGGTATCATCCATCTGTAACACAGGTGAGCAGCAGATTCAGCCTTTAAAGCTGGTCAACCAGATACCCTATATCATCACTTCTTGTTTCTTAGAGCAGTTACTTTCTTCTTTGTTGTGTTAATAATTAAATGTACTTTCCTGGTTTTCTAGATTCATTTCTGTTGATGTGAAAAGAAGCAAAAACAAAAACCAAATAAACAAAACCAAACCAAAAAAACAAACAAACAAAAACAAAAACCCTGACCAAATGCACCTTAGAAGAGGGTTGGGGTCATTTGGTTAATAATTCCAGGATACACTGCACCATTTCAGGGAGATCAGTGCTGGGACTTGGGTAGCTGGGTACATCACATCCACAGTCTGTAGCAAAGAGAACATACATGTGTCCTTGCTTGTTTGTTCGCTTCCTTGTTTGCTTGCTTGCTTGCTGGATAAAATCATCTGGCTTTCTTCACTGTTCTACAGTTCAGGGGGGTCCATGAAATGGAACCTCCCACCCTGAGGATGGGCCTTCCCACTTCAATTAACAATCCAGACAGTCTCCCACAGACATTCCCAAGGCCAACCTAATTGACTTACATACTCATTAAGACTCTCTCTCCAGGAGATTGTAGGTGGTGTTGGGGTGACACTTAAACTCTTGAGCTCAGTAACCTTATTTTCATTTATGAATAATTTGTCCTCATTTCCATGTATATCTTGTCTCCGATACTCATTAACTCACTGAGTAACACGCATTGTTTTATATCTAGTAAATATACCAAGCATTTAGGTGAAGAACACACCAACATTTGAAATACAAGTATGGACAGACAATGAAATGTTCTACCTGTAAAGAAATAGGATGCCAATCTCTCTCAATATATGAAAATGTCCAGGAAGCTTTCTTAAATTGAACTGCACTGTTTGGGACTTAGGCTACTCAAACACTAAAGTGACACTTGTAATTAATATCTAGTGAACCCCTATGTACAAATGCCTTCAATCAATAAAATTAACTTTGTGTCCAGAAAAATCTATTCTTGGTTAATTGTCCATCTTTGTATGTCTGTAGCTTCCAATTACTGGAACATTTAATCATATTTCCAACAGTAACCCAAAGTGACCTCTTGGAGAAATGTTGATAAACAGGATATTCACATATTATGTATATTGTAACACATGTATATGTACAAAACCATGCACATGTGTTCATGCACTCTTAAACTTTTCTGAAAGAACATTTATGGATAAATAATTTGTTGCGTATAGAATACTAAAGCTAGCCTTTAATGTGCATTTTACTTTAAGTAAGCTAAAATATTTCGCAGATGTTTATTATGTCTGAATGTTACCCCTAATTATTCATGGATAAAGTGTCCAGAATACAGCTCAATTATTCTCACCAGCTGAGGCGCAGAGGAACTAATATGACATGAAGCCAAGTGACCCTGAGCCAAACAGTGACTGCAGGCTGTGAGCACTCCGAAGGATCCACGTTAGGTACACAGTCTCCTGCCAGTCCCTCCCCATGACCCCAGCCTGTCCTGTGCTCACAGGGCTCTCTGCTCTGTTCTGTTGATCAGGCTTCTCCCTCACAGAGCTTTGTGTATAACAGCACACACAATTCAGCATCAGGGACTGCAGGCTACAGGCACCTCTGTGTATGGAGCAACTTATCACCAAAGGAGGGAGTGGGCTTCAGACCTCGGGACAGAAGTGCAGGCTGAGGGAGCTTTGATACTGAATTTGGGGAGGGCACCATTCAAGAGGTTGATCTACTGTCTTCCTTCCAGCCACTCGGGTCCTGAGTGCTGAGCAATGAAGACTTGCAGAGATATCATAGCTAGAGTGTTCAAGAAGTGACACAGCAACAAATCAGGATGGAAGCACAGCAAAGCAAGACCGCTCACTTAGCCAAATGGAAAAAAGGAAGGAAGATAGTGGAATTCCACAAGGCTTCTTTGAGGACACGACCACAATTATCTGGAGACGCCTCACTAGTCTCTACCTTCTAAAGAATTCACCACCTCACAGTAACTCTTTGCTGGGGACCTTTAGGAGATGTTCCAGTCTAGATTTCTGAATGTATCTGTTTTCCTAAGTTAATTAGTTAAAATGAGCAGTCTATCTCAGGATTGCAACTGAGTAAGTCATACAGTTCCCAGCAACCAGTGCTAGAGTCTGAAAGCTGTACCAAGAGATGGAGCACTAGTGCAGAAGTTGGACCTATGCAGGAGATAAAACAAAAGTATGAAATCTTTAGAGTTCAGTAAGAAAACAGTCAGTCCATCATCACCACATTGTTAAATGACTTAGAGCAAATGTAAAATGACCGTAGTGACTAGCTTACTCCTGTGATGACAAAGTACTCTTTATTTTATTTATTTATTTTTTATACTTTATTTTTTCTCAAATCGTAATTCATTCACACAGGGGTTATAAATACAGAAAAGCAGGATGTGGGGAAGGGAATGACAATGGAGTGTGGGTGTTCAGGGGGAATACAGATATTTTTCAGAACTGGGTATCGGCTGGGTTCAGGGGACAAGTCACTATGACTCTGCCTATGACTCTCTTGTCCTTATCTAAGTTGGTATTGTCTGCCAAGGCTACCTATTTACAAGGTCTATGACTACTCAGGCTTGTAGATTTCCACAAAAGCTGCCTGTTTATATTAGCTTATAGCCATCTGTTTCGATGTTTTTCCACTGAGACCCAAGACTTGGTGTTAGTATACAGGCCTATTGCTGATTTTAGCCCTATGGTTGATTTTGGGCCTTCAGTGTGTAAGCAAGGCTGCCCCTGACATCTCCTCCCTTCTCTAAGTATAGAAGGGCTGTGGCAATTCTAATCTTGTGAAGGCGGGGATAGAGGCCTGACCTCCAGTAATTGAAGGGGACCTTGTAATGGCTCCGGTCCCCCTGTCGTTGTTCAGTGAGGCATGAGGGTCATACCCATCCCAATGTCTTTTTCCTGGAGAGGGGGTACTTTTGACATCAACCCCTATGCAGTTAGGCTTGTCCCTCAGGGAACCAATCTCAAAAGAACATACATGGTATGCACTCACTGATAAGTGGATATTAGCCCAAAAGCTCACAATATCTAAAAAACAACGTATAGACTACATAAAACTCACGAAGAATAAGGAAGACCAAAGTGTGGGTGCCTTTTCTAGAAGGAGTATCAAAAGTTTCAACCAGAGCTCCAAAAGTCTAAACCTCCAGCCAGAGAGCCCAAAGGGAGGGACTCATGTCTCCACCTGTATAGGTAATTGAGGGTGACCATGTCAGACTTCAGTGGAAGTGGAGGGGCCATGGTCCCCCAAAGTTTGGATCCCCTACTGTTTGGGAATTCGAGAGCAGGGAGATGGACTGGGAGGATGTTTGGAGCACACCCTCATAAAAATGGGAGGAGGGGGTATAGGATAAGGGGTTTTGGGGGAGAATGGGAGAGGAGATAACATTGAAAAGTAAATACATATAATATCCAAAAAAACAGATAAAGAGGGAGAGAGAGAGAGAGAGAGAGAGAGAGAGAGAATACTTATTTTAAATTATTTTCAAAAGTTTCTAGGACAAAGTACTCTTTAAATAAGTCTATTTTAAGTGCAAGTGGCAAGAATGAGCAACTGGCTGAGTGACTCATTGTATAGGAGAGTAAGCACATAGGGAAACGATGTGTGGAGGACAGAATACCCCTGTGAAGATGTCCTCATGGGAAATGGTAGGACTGAAATGGTAGGACTGAAATGGTAGAACCTGAATCCCACATATGGGGAGATAAATGAATCCAAAAGGGGGTGAAGAGGCAGAGAGGGGAAGAAAAGGGGAATTGAGAAGAGAGAGTAAATTAATAAGCTAACAACTTAGGTAGTTATGAGAAGTGGTAAAGAAGCCAACCAGGACTCAGCCATAGAGATGTGGGCACAGCCAGCTCTGGCTGGGTAGCCACCTTCAGCTTCCTACATAGTGACTAGTGGTTGGTCAGCGCTAACACTGTACTTGTAAAGTGTTCTTGCACTCACTGACTATGTTTATTTTAACTGTTCACAGCTAGTTAATAGTTTTTGCCTTCTGTATGACTAAGCATTTTTTTAAAAAACCTTTTTCATTTGCAGGCAATAAGTTTAATGTTAGTTTTATATGTGTGTATCTATCTATATGTATGTATATATATACACACATACACACACACACACACAGACAGATATATATATATATATATATATATATATATATATATATATATATGAAATTTCCAACTCAGAAATATCAAATGGGTAAAAGTACAGAAAATTATTATTTTGAGGATTTTGCTTTGAATTGAGCAGAGAACTTTGGCTAATAGGGAAGAGGTTTTATTGTTTAAGATGGTAGAGAAGTGTGCTACTGCTTAGAGAGGGGGGTGATCCAGAAAGGGAGGCAGTGGTGGGAGGGATGGCCTTACCAGGGCAAGCGGTCACTCCCGTTGCTTTTGAGCCTGTGTCAAACCACACATCACACAGAAGTGGAAGACAGAGCAAGCTGCTCACCTCACAGTGGTTGGAAACTGATGAGGCCTGGGATACAGATGACACTTCAAAGCCATAAATCCAATGGCCAGGAAAGCTCCTGCTAGGTTGGCTGTACCTCATCAAGGTTTACCAGCTCCCTGTTGTGCCCTGGGCTTGGCATGAGGTCTTTAACATCTTGGCCCTTGAGGAACACTTACCTAAATCTTAGAAGAGGCTGAAGGAAGTAACCATTTACATTATGCAGATAATGATAGTCAGTCTGATTGTGCAGGTAGAAAGGGAAATCTGGGTGCTGGGGAGCAACCCTCTACTTCAACAATAGCACTATGAAAGAAAATAAGAGAAAGAAACAATTTAACAATTCAATGTCTTACAACAGGGGAATGGATAAAGTTTGTAAAGATTATGAGTATCTATAGTAAAGTTACATCAATGAACCAAGGTCATGGGTTTCCCTATTTCTAAAACTCGAACACCTAATGTAGAGTTTTGAAAATGCAGAATGAGTTAGATTCCTTATCAGACATACAGTTCAGTAACATTTACATAAAGGACAGTGAGGAATAAGGGCAATGAACAGAATCAATTCAGCTTCCTTTCTGCAGCTGCAATAAAACTCTGTGACCAAAAGCAGCCTTGGGGAGGAGAGAGCTTATTCCATCCTGTGTGTGCAGGTCACAGCCCATCACATGTATGTATTCATACATACATACTTGAGGTAGGAACTTGAAGCAAAAACTATGGAGAAATGCTATTTGCTGGCTCACTAGCAAACTCAGGCCTAGCTAACTTTCTTATACAGCCCAGAACCACCTGCCTAAGGATGATGCCACCCAGAGTGGATTAAGACCTTCTCCATCAATAAGCAATTTAGACAGTGGCAATAGCAATACAACAGTCTGCTATAGACATGCCCACAAGTTAACATGATCTGGGCAATTCCTCAACTGAGGCTTCTCTTTTCAAATGATTCTAGTTTATGTCAAATTGACAGTGCTATATAGGATGGGTGGATAGATAGATAGATAGATAGATAGATAGATAGATAGATAGATAGATAGATAATACACACACACACACACACACACACACACATATACATATATATGTTTTCTTTAAAAAGCCCTAGCAATGTAACCCACTCATTCTGAAAAAAAAAAAAAAGAAAACTGATAATAAGAAACCAGGAGAAGAAGTGCAGATGAAGAGCTAGCCTTATTTGTAGAGCTTATATAAAAAACAAAAATAGATCTGAAGTAAATATACAGAGCATTCACATCTGTTCTGCTTTAGTGAACACACAGTGTCTGCTATAATTATCTGAAATGTTTTTCATTTTCAAATAATACTAAAATGATAGATAATGGAAGGAGGATTATAATTTACCACTGAGTCTTGGAAGAAGACATTGGGGATCTTTAAAGATAATATCATAGCCATTCCCTCCAGCTGCCCCTTCTCTCCTCAAGCTGGAGCCAAAAAAGCCTTTCCTCATCCCGCCGTGTTCTTCTATGCTTCCTTCTTCTCCAGAAAGGGGGTGAAGGGCAGGGTAAACGCATCAAGTTTTAAAGCAGAACAACTTAGCTTTGATCTTCTGCCCTCTCCTCCAAACCCTGCCTGGGACATATTTTTTCCCAACTAAATGATATTTTAGTGTATAAAATGGTATTTCTGCCTTAACTAGATAATTTCTTCTTGAAAAACAAATTTGAGGAGTTTTAAAGTATCAGGTAGTAGGGAAGAGAATGAATACACAGTACAAAAACCCAAATCTCTGACAACAGGTCTACAAACACCCAGAGTCCCAGGCTTTGCAAACAAATGTTAGCACAACCTTTCACCTTGGATAGGGTGTAAACTCTGAGCATCTTTGTTTTCTGATGGTGGAGTGAAGACAGAACAGAGAATCCTTTTCTTACTTAGCTTACCACCTATCCTATTTCCTTAAGAGTGTCTTGGAGTTTGGTTGACCTGCCCTGTTCCATTCTCCCCAGTCTGCCCACCCTGCCTGGTTAAACCTTTCAACCCCTGGTGTTTCTTCTTCATTTCAGATGACTTTTAAAAAGAACTGGCCAGGGCTATGGGTTTGCTTTCATCTCAGTCTGGCATCAGAATGCATGGTCTCTAAGTCAGAAACTAAAGGCCAAAGGGTAGACCTGCCTCTTTGTGTGCATTAGCTGAGTAGTGAATTTGGGCTAGACAGTGTATAAAGAGGTGCCAAACAGACTCATCCCTTAGCTTTGCTAAATGAATCCTCCATTCAAGAGTCAATACAAGTGCAAATGCCAGCCAGTAAAATCAATCAGTGTGTGTGTGTGTGTGTGTGTGTGTGTGTGCCAACCACTTCAAGTAGAAGACACTTTCACTATCAAGTTTCTTTGGTAAAACAGATGCTTTGTTTCTTTAAAACTAGGAAGTATCCAATGATAGCTAAGGTAAGCGCAAATCACAACCCTGTTATCATGAGGTCCACTCCGAGGCAAACAGCCATCAAGTCGTCATACCCTAAGGAAAACTGTTAAACACGTTTTCAGATCTTATACTCTGTGTAGAATTTTAAACAATAGATGCTTCTATATAAATTGTCTGGGTTTTATATAAAAAGTAGATGGGAGTGGGGAATGACGAGATAGCTCAGAGGTTAGGAACACTAGCTGCTCTTCCAGAATCCTGGATTCAGTTCCCAGCATCTACATAGTGGCTCTCAACTATTTTAACTCCAACTTCAGGGGATTTGATGCCCCCTTCTGGGCTCGTTGGGCATCTATAAGACATATACACACACAGGCACATATACACATACATATACATAAATAAAAGTAATAAAAAATAAATGAAGAGGAGTTTTACCTGCTAGCAACCAATGTTTGCCCTCTTGAACATTCTATCTCTGTGAACAGTACATGATAAATTGTGCAGACTAGCGTTATAATATGTTAATCTTGTATTTCCTTGCTATTTCTCATTTATCACTGAGGTTTGAGTTATGACCTTAAAAAGCCAATGCTTTGAAGGTCCAGACACCCACAAAGCAACTTTCCTTTGCTGCTCCTTAGCCAGTCCTATGCTCCTCCAGTACTATCAGAATAGCTGTACAGATCTGTTTGCACACCATTGTGTATCAATTGTTAAGGGATGGCATGCTGATTCTAGAAACTTCTCTTTGTAATCTATCCCAGTCATGTCAGATCCTACTGGGGTCTGAATTCAGTTCTGGGTACTAGCTTTGAGGCAGGGCTGACAAACTAAACTTTACATCACCATGATCTTAAAAAGAAATGACCACGTTAACTGGGTTCAGTTAGCTTGAGAAAAGCATACAGAACAGAAGCTAGTAACAATCTTCAAATATTGGAGTTAATAGCAAGAAGGGTTATATACAAAAGAAAACCAAGAGAGGGCAAAATTATGCTGCAAATTCCATTAATTGGGGTGGGGGCTAAAATCTATGAGAGTGACCCTAGTGAAGATGCCTAATAATAGGGGGGGTACAAAGCCTGAACTGGACATCTTCTTAACCAGTCAATGACTCTGGTTGAGAGGCTGGGATAGCAACCCAGCCACAAAACCTTTGACCTACAATTTGTCCTGCCTGCAAGATATGCTGGGGTAAAGGTTGCACAGAACTTGTAGGAGCAGCCAACCAATGACTGATCCAACTTTAGACTCATGCCACGAGAGGGAGCCCATGCCTGATACTGCCTGGAGGGCCAGGAACCAGAGGCTGAATAACTAGTATAGAACCAAACATGACTGTCCAAAAAAGAAAGAGAAAGAAAGGAAGGAAAGGTTTCGTGGAGGGAGGGAGGGAGGGAGGGAGGGAGGGAGGGAAGGAGGAAAGATGAAAGAGTAAATGAAGTGATTCCTAATGATATTATGCTATCCTCAAAGTCTGGAACATAATCTAATCATCATCAGAGAGGCTTTGCCCAACAATCGATAGGAAAAGTTGCAGAGACTGACAATCAAAAATTGGGCAGAACTTGAGTAATTCCACAGAAGAAGGGAGAAAGGAGCCAGAAGGGTCAGGGATATCACAAGAACAGGGCCCACAGGATCAACTAACTTGGGTTCGTGAGGGCTCATGAAGACTGAAGCAACAAGCAAGTAGGTCTAACTGCATGTATATTAATGTTGCGTACCTTAGTATTCTTGTGAGACTCCTAACAGTGGTAGAGAGGGCTGTCTCTGACTCTTTGGCCTGCTCTTAGGACCCTTTTCCTCCTACTGGATTGCCTTATCCAGCCGGATATGAGGTGTGCCTAACCTTACTGTAACTGTTGGGCCATGTTTGGTTAACACCCCTGGGAGTCCTACTCTTTTCTGAAATGGAAGATAAGTAGACCTATAGAAGAGAGGAGGTAGGGAGGAAGGTACTGGGGGAGAGGAGGGAGGAGAAACCATGGTCAGGATGTAGTATATGAGAGAAGAACTCTTTAAAACCAAGCAGGATGGATGTTCTTTGTGTTCTTTGTGTTTGCCTAATAGGGGATGGACTATTAAGGGCTCTTCCTTTTCTCTATATAAGGAAGGAAGAAGTTATCACAGACAATGCTCACCGTTATCACCCCAACAACAGTACCATAGAATCTACCCTTGCCTACCACTAGCTTCTCCTATGTGGTTACCTTCTCTCCCTGTCACCCCAGAAACTCAAAATGCTCCTCCTTTGCTTCATACGTTACTGAAATCTACTGAGCTGTTAGATGCTGAGTGCAAATTCCAAGCACCCTGAGTTCCTCAGACCTGAGTGATCATCTGTGTGTGCCTTGTGATGTGCTAATGACTTCACCTTGCTCTAAGAGGGCAAATGTTTTTTCTCTTTTCTATTAGTTATGAGGTTGAACACTGGAGCAATACCATGGTTCAATTCTTTTGGCCTTAGGGATGGTGCAGAACTAATCTGTGTCTCAATCTCTTTGTCTAAAAAAAAACCTTATATATATTAATAGCAATATTTTATTGCATAGTTTCTGGGGAGTTACACACACACACACACACACACACACACACACACACACACACTAGCGGGTTTGCAGCAACCCCAAGAAGTTGCAGTGACTATAAGATACAAATCATTTCAGAGATAACTCCTTCACAATGCAGGGAACCCCCTTTGCTACAAGCCATCAGGCAACAACCACCAGTGTATCCACTGATGATACCACAGAGAGAGCAGACCCCAGGCTAGTGCCTCGGCCCAGATCATCTCTCAGACCTCAGCAAAGCCTAGAACTCCACGCACCCACAGAACCACCTCCCTAATTACCTCCAACCTTCAGCAATTTTAATGTTTGATCAGAGGGGAGTTGTTTGCAAAATTGACCAATAAACAAAATCCCACAGGGCAGTAGCCTGGAAATCTTCCCTGTGTGGTGAGGGATGTCTTCATTCCATGCCCAACCACAGGAGCGAGCACACTGGCTACCTGAAGCCTGGAGCACAGTCCCACCCTCCTTGGTCTTAGGACTGAAAATTCTTTGTTAGCTACCCAATAAGGGAGCCACTGCCAGTCCCTGCTGGAAACATGTCCCGACCTTAGATGGACTGTGTTTTTCTTGATGCTAACAATGACTAGCCTTCAGGCCTGAAATGGAGACTGTATATCTGAGATCTTCTGATGCACTACCTAGGGTCAACACCACCTCCAAAAAAATCCCACAAACCCAACAATTTTTGCTTAAAATACATACATAGCTTCAAGTAACTAGGTTCAAGGACTCATCCCCTCTTGGTTTTAAAAATTCCTTGACTAATTATCAATGCTGCAGATTTTAAGGATACAGACAAGGACTTCATAAGTCCGGTTTGGAAATTGGTCACCCAATAGATTTTTTTTGCTTGTTTTTTTTTTCATTCATTTTTTTCACTGGTATTTTGTGCTTTTTCACCTTTTGTGCTTTTTCATCAACCTGCTAGTTGATGAACTTTGTAGGATCGTCTCTCCACTTAGGGACAAACACATCACATTCAGACACAAGTGTTCCATCAATGCTATCATTTGCAGAGAATCTCAAGCCTGTGTTCTCCCTTAGCATGTTTCTCCCCTTGTACCCATGGCCTTTCTTCCAATACTGGCATCATCACTGCAGTCATGTTGGGAAGAGTTTCTAAGGTGGGAGTCATGATTTGAATATGCTTGCCCTAGGGAGTGGCACTATTTGGAGGTGCAGCCTTCTTGGAATAGGTGGGTGTGGGCTTTAAGACCCTCATCCTAGCTGCCTGGAAGTCAGTATTTTGCTAGCAGCCTTCAGATGAAGATGTAGAACTCTCAGCTCCTCCTGCACCATGCCTGCCTGGGTACTACCATGCTCCTGCCTTGATAGTAATGGACTGAACCTCTGAACCTGTAAGCCAGCCTCAATTAAATGCTGTCCTTGTAAGAGTTGCCTTGGTCATGGTGTCTGTTCACAGCAGTGAAACCCTAACTAAGACAGTGAGTTCATGATACAGGATTGAGAATGACTTCTATACATGGCCCCCTGGTCTGGACCCCTCATCAACTCAGTTCATGTTTGTACTTGTTTTAGCAGTCCACATTGCATGCATTCTGGGCTTAAATGAAATACACCGGTTTCACAACAGAAGCGTGATTGCTGAATTGTGGTGAGACAGACTTTTTGTTTTTGAATGGTTTTGCATTTGTGACATCTGTATCATCCTTGAGAGCTGACATGTACAGTGGCACTAACTGATAAGTTGAGGCAGTTTTAGTTCTGGTTGTGTCCTAATTACCAAGTGGAAGGTTCTAACTTCATGATGTCTCTGTGCAAAGTCCCAAGCCCCAAACCTATCTGAACAAATCCCATGCTGTCTATTTCCCATACCACCTAAATATCATTCTACAGATTCGAAAACCCAACTACATTTAACCTTTCCTCCCCTAATCCTTAATAGTTCCCCTACAATCAGTGAACTGAAATGTACCACACAGTTGCCCTAGTACGCCTTTCTCTTCATATCTGTACTTAAACCTTCCCACACTAAGGTCTAGATGACAACAAACGCTTGTTTGCCCAGGAAGCCTCTGACCTCCTTACTCTAGGATCAGCATATTTTCCCAGTTAAACTTCCAAAAACAAAACAAACAAACAAACAAACAAACAAAAAACAAGATTTCACTA